TAAAAATGCAAGCATTTAGTGAAGAGTCAAAAATAAAATGTAAAAGCATTATCGACAGCTTAAAACAAGTACATTGAAAGTAGTAAGAAGGTATTTCTTAATTTCAGTTTCAGTCACAGTGTAATAAATGTTTCCTTGGTTTTCTGGAATATAATTTCATATAATCCATACCCATAGGAGATATCGTTCATATCCTAATTTATATCCACAAACAGGCTAAGTCACAGAATGACAAAGATTACACTTTTGGGATATTAGCAAAACTGCAGAAAAGGACACAAATGTATGAGTTTTTTTCTCTTTGATCCTGAAAGCATTAAATCATAAACAGTGTAATTGCAACATTGCCTTATGATGCATTCTCATGAATACAATCCTCGATTTAAAAAATATTTTCCAGACGTCATTCTACTGAAAGTATCTATTTTTCATATTTGGACTTTAGGGCTTATCATCAACGATAAGCATGCAATGTCAGAACAAATATTTTATAAATATATAAAACATTAAAAATGAATTCATTCTACATTAATCTAGCTCTTTAAAGGATCTAGTATTTAGCAAAAATACTGTACTTACTTTCTCAATTACAGAAGTGCATGACTGTCTTTTTAAAAATACCCCAAGTGTGTGAAGATACTGTATTAAGAAAAAAAAATTTTTTTCTTTAAGGTTACCCTAAGACCTTAGCTAAACAGATTGGGAAAGAGTAAAAAGTAACCAAATAAGGAATTATTTCTCTTCTTTTGCTTGTACTCCCTGACTTGAAATGATTCATAGGTGGGATTGCCTTTTCTACAACAAAAATAATTCAATAATGGAAAGTTCTGTAAAAAACTAGAAAACATTCTATCCTTGGTACAAAAAGCAAAAACAAAAAACCTAGAAAACATTTAATCCAGTTAAACATACTGTTTTAAAATTTATAAAGTTCATAAAATTAAACTCAAATGCCAGCCGTTATGTTAAAAAGATACGCACATAACATTATATCTGTTCGATTTCCCTTGTTTTGCATTAAATGTTTTATCATTTGTACTTTGTTTCCAGAACACTAAGTAACTGTACATGTCTAATTCAGTAATAATAAAAATGCAAGCATTTAGTGAAGAGTCAAAAATAAAATGTAAAAGCATTATCGACAGCTTAAAACAAGTACATTGAAAGTAGTAAGAAGGTATTTCTTAATTTCAGTTTCAGTCACAGTGTAATAAATGTTTCCTTGGTTTTCTGGAATATAATTTCATATAATCCATACCCATAGGAGATATCGTTCATATCCTAATTTATATCCACAAACAGGCTAAGTCACAGAATGACAAAGATTACACTTTTGGGATATTAGCAAAACTGCAGAAAAGGACACAAATGTATGAGTTTTTTTCTCTTTGATCCTGAAAGCATTAAATCATAAACAGTGTAATTGCAACATTGCCTTATGATGCATTCTCATGAATACAATCCTCGATTTAAAAAATATTTTCCAGACGTCATTCTACTGAAAGTATCTATTTTTCATATTTGGACTTTAGGGCTTATCATCAACGATAAGCATGCAATGTCAGAACAAATATTTTATAAATATATAAAACATTAAAAATGAATTCATTCTACATTAATCTAGCTCTTTAAAGGATCTAGTATTTAGCAAAAATACTGTACTTACTTTCTCAATTACAGAAGTGCATGACTGTCTTTTTAAAAATACCCCAAGTGTGTGAAGATACTGTATTAAGAAAAAAAAATTTTTTTCTTTAAGGTTACCCTAAGACCTTAGCTAAACAGATTGGGAAAGAGTAAAAAGTAACCAAATAAGGAATTATTTCTCTTCTTTTGCTTGTACTCCCTGACTTGAAATGATTCATAGGTGGGATTGCCTTTTCTACAACAAAAATAATTCAATAATGGAAAGTTCTGTAAAAAACTAGAAAACATTCTATCCTTGGTACAAAAAGCAAAAACAAAAAACCTAGAAAACATTTAATCCAGTTAAACATACTGTTTTAAAATTTATAAAGTTCATAAAATTAAACTCAAATGCCAGCCGTTATGTTAAAAAGATACGCACATAACATTATATCTGTTCGATTTCCCTTGTCTTAAGATGGCTGCCACACAGAATAGCAGCCTCCATGTTAAAATATGGCTTCTCCCAACAAAGGACAGGCTTTTTCTTCCCATCACACCTCTTCTCTGACCAAAAAAGTAACCTAATACTTGCTACCTCCTAACAGCTAGTGATGTCACAGGTTCCTCCAATCTCTTAATACTACCTCACTCAACTCCATCACCCCAATTTAGGCTAACCTCATCCTGCTCCTATAAAAGAAGCTCCCTGTGCTGCCATGTTGCTTTTCTCTCCTTTGTTCAGAGACAGCCCAGCAGATCCTCCTCATAATAAAGGCTTGTTGTAGTCCTGGTCTGGTCCTGGTTTTTCGGCTCTTTTACCTAACAGTCTGGGATTCTGTTTCCTTAAAACAGTATGTTATGAAACCTCGTTCTTAAAACATATACCAAGATTTTCAGTATCTGGAGATCTTAAATACTACCTCTTTGTATTAAATAGCTTAAAATTTTAATAAACTGGAACTTGGATTCTTATTTTTACCCACTAAATAACCTGAATTTTTAAAAATGTATTTGATGTTCACTGCTCTAATCAAGCCAATAAAAAAGTAGGGCATCAAAGGAGCAGGGATGGGAAGTGACAAATCAGAATGTGGTGGAAAGGTGAGAATGAGCAGGCACACTATATCCCTCAGTCCCAAAGCAAATGCGGATTTCTGCACATAGACACTCCCCACTGCTCACTACTTACATTTCCTTATGTCCCATTTGTATTGATAATCCAGGGTCTGCTGCTAATCATTTACATAAAAGCCAAGGACATTATTTTGGTATTTGAATATGACTTAATTACATGAAACATCACTTTTAAAAAATGTCCTTCTATGTGTTGAAAATATGTTGCCTCCAAAACTCATGAGATTTAATTTCCATGCCAGCAATATTAAGACATGGAACCTCTAACGTGATTAGACTACAAGGACTACACCTTTAAAAGTGGAATGGATTAGAAAAGGGTTCTCTTGCTTTTGCCATGTGATGGTGCAGAAAGTTGGCTCTCAACAGATGCCAGCACCTTGACATGGGACTTCCCAGTCTCCAGAACCCTGAGCCACTAAGTTTCCATTTATTAAAAATTCGTTTGTCAGCCAGGTGTGGTGGTGCTCGCCTGTAATCCCAGCACTCGGGAGGCTGAGACAGGAGGCTCACTGTGACTTCGAGACCAGCCTGGGCTACATAATGAGTTCCAGGTCAGTCTCAAACAAACAAACAAATTCATTTGTGGTATTGTTAAAATGGCACAGAACATAGAAAGCCATATCCTGAGGTGTGGGGAAGAGGAAAGGAGACTGTTACTAGAACCTTAAGTCCTAGTCTGTGAGCCATGACAACACAAGGTGAATTAACTTGGAGATGCTGGCTTGTGTGGTATCTAAAGAAAGCAACCCTCTGCTTCCAAGATGATAATTTATTGCTGCACCTTTGGAGGGGAGGAACACTGAGTCTTCACATAATGGGAGGAACCATGAGCAGAAGAGACCTTAAGGCACTAATCCAGTGATGAGAGGGAGGCTGTATGACCTGATCACATCCCCAAAAGCCAACTCTTCACGCTGCCCCAGGAGGGTTTAAGCACATGAATTTTGGATGAGACAAATTAAAATCATCACAACCGGGTTCCTCAAACTCCAAAGGACAATGTAATTTATAAAGTACTCCTCAAGACCAAATACATCAAGTGAAATGCTAAAGATACAAATTTTATAGCTATGGTAATGTTTGCCCTAAAATATTTGCACACACAGTGTTAAGTCCTACAGTTACCTGGGTTAGCTAACTATTAAATTCAAATCTGAGAATAAAGTCTTACAAATGTTCATTTTTAGCAATGTATCCAGGGAACTTCTAGGAACCTCAAAGTTTCCAAAGCCTTGAATTAAGTACGAAGGAAAGAAAATTGGGTCTAAGTGGTAAAAAGTATCAACTTAACTGAAAGCAGGTATGGAACGGTATAATTCAGTTCTCTATTTCTTTAGACATTAAATATCTACTGTCACATGGCCAATACTGAAGCTATAGAAACTAAAAAGGGTTTGGGGAGTTTTCTAGTGTCTTAAGATATAATTTCATTAAGTCTATCCAACCAGAAAACAAAACAAAACAATACACTGTTTATCATAAACTATGATGGTAACTCTTACAGAGCAGCAAAAACATTCCAGGAAAGAATAATGAAGAACACGGTACAGTCGGTCCGAGGCAGAGCTCCTCAACTGTGTACCAAGGACCCTCCAGTCCTCAGTCCACAGGGAGGCAAAGTGGGACATCGGTGGAGTCACAGTGCACAGTCTCTACATTCTTTCAATGCGCCACACATTATTTTCTAAGTATGTAAAAAAATGAAAAGTTAGGAAGCACCAGTTTAGTGGAGCATGTTAATCTAAGAAACAAGAAAGCTAGATCCAACTCCTTGTCGTCTCAATGCATTTGACCTTAATTAAATCACTGGGCCTCTTAGGAACTCTTAGTTGGGCTCTTCATTTATTAAATGACAAACAATTTAGATTTTGAAGACCTCTTCTAGTTCTAAAATTCCATAAGGTCCTTTTTTACACATGACATAAAATATTAGTCACTATTTAATGAAAAACTCTTAAATTCATTCAGTTATTCAGTAAGTATTTATTAAGCATCTAATCTGTGCCAAGCATGTAAAAATATGTAAAACAGATACAGAAGGCAATGATCCTTAAATGTATCTTAGTATGACTGGTTAAATAGTAAAGCTTTCAGAATAGTGCCTAAATAATGGACATCTGCTTAGACAATGGAAACTTACAAATGCATAATTATATAAGGTTTTTATCCTCTTTGCTTTTTTTTTTTTTTGGTACCGGGGATTGAACTTGGATCCTTGCGCTTGCAAGGCAGGCCACAAAACCGCTGAGCTAAATCCCTGGCCCCTCCTCTTTGCTTTTTACTTAAAAAAAACATTTAGGGTTAATTACTGCTAAACCACATTTATAATGAAAATAAATTCTGAAAGTATATTATAAAAATAGTTTATTTTAAAGAATCTCAATAGGACTTCAACATCTCATTTGGAGATTTTACCAGAAAAGGCAATCAGTGTTCAATATATTTTATGATGATGGAATCTGCTTCACATCCATTACTGTGTATACTGTTTTATGGGTGGGAGTACAGGAAAGCATGATTCAAAGTTTTAATTAAATACTGTATTACATAGTTGGATTTAGTCCCAAGAATTTGAGCTAAAATTTTCATATGAGTACAATTTCACAAAACTTACAAATATATATCAACTTACTACTGAATCACTTAGTACTTTACAGTATTTGTAAAAATCTAGCTCCGTAATGACTTTTTCTTTAAAAAAACAAAAGCCTTACCATACATACTATGAAAAGTCCACATTTCTCTGGGAACAATGCACGCCCCTAATAGTAAGGTCCAAAATGAGAAGCGTTACTATCTCCAGGAGAGGGCGGGGGAGGCAGTGGGGGAGGAGGAGGAGGAGGGGGCAGTGAGTACGGAAGGTTAAGCATTGGATGAGGTGCCATGCTGGGTGCAGTCCAACCCATGCTGACAGATGGGGGCGGTGGTGGAGGCGGTGGAGGTGGCAGTGCAAAGTTATGCATGTCGAACACTGGAGGAGGAAAGGGGTAGTGCGGCATCAGAGGACTCTCTTGTCTCTGCGGTGGAAATCCTGAAGCCTCCTGAGATACCATATGTTCTGAGTTATAAAACTGCTGGGGTGGAGGCCTGCTGCGGCCAGGTCGAGGGTATCTGCCCCTGGAAAATCCTCGTGTGAATTCTCTGCTGTGGTATCCTTTTGAATACTCCGAAGAAGAGCTATAAGCATTCCAATTCTGATGTACTTCGGCAAAATCTTCACCTTTTGAGAGGGGAAAAAATACATCAAATCAAAATTAAAATTAAATGTACTATGTTAAAAAGCACTGTAGAAATTTTAGTAACGCCCTTTCTTTAATTACCAGTTTAAGGCAGTCAAAATAAACTGAAAAGGCAAACTTAAAGCCAAAGATCAGGGAAAAGCCTAGCAAGACAAAAAACATTTTAGAAAATAACTTCAGCCAAATACCACAGAAAACTGCAGCAGCCTAGCTGGTTGCCTTCCTGAAGGCTGAATGAGAGCGTGGACTTCTACTGTCAACCGCCGAGCACTCCCTACACAAGTGTCCAGGACAGGGTGAGCAAGGCACCACTGACAAGGCCTCCTGGTAACAGCGAGGAGCAGATGGAAGCCTAAGCGTCTACTTTAACGAGCAGCTGCAGTTTCTCCCATCGCACACTCCTGGTCAGAGAAGACTAAGACTTCCTACCTCTGCCCCATAGTAAAGAGGTCATCCTCCGCCACAGGTGTCAGAGGACAGCGGCCAGCAACTCCTGCCTGATCAGGAGGGCGTCATGACTTCCACCTTTGCACAGTAGTAATGAGGCATCCCTTACCCTTCAGTATCAATAAAAGGAATTGCTGAACTTCAGCCTCCACTCTCCCTCTCCGTCAAAACTACAGAGTAGGGCTGGGGATTTAGCTCAGTGGTTCTGTGGCCTGCTCTACAAGCACAAAGTCCAGAGTTCAATCCACGGTACCAAAAAAAAACCAAAAACCAAAAACAAAACAAAAAAACCCCACAGTATTTGAAAAACAAAGCAACCTGACCTAAGCAGAAGATTTACATAAGGACCAAAGTCTTCTATTCATATAAATAAATAAACAAATACACACACACACACACACACACACACACACACACACACACTATATCCAGATTTCAATAAGTGACTCATCATAAAGATATCTCATTGACATTTCAAACTCAAAGAGAAAGGAAAATTAACCAGGGCAACATAAAGTTGTTAGAATTAACTAAGTAAAATAATGTAGTCATAAAAATGCTTCATCAAGAAATTATGATACTCTAAAAAATGAAAATTAGTCTCAGATAAAAAACAAAAGAAAAAGAAATAAACAGAAATTTTATAACTGAACAATATAATAATCAAAATTGAAAACTCAGCTGAATAATACCAAAGAACAACAAAGCTGGAGAAATGATACAACCTGACTTTAAGTCTTAAAACAAACCTATGGTAATAACAGTGAAATATTGGTGAAACAAGAAGCAAATCAATCAATGGGACAGGACAGACAACCCAGAACCAGACCCACAGAAGACAGTTACTCAACAAATGGTGCTGGAACACTGGATGTCCATATGTGAGCATGATCTAGACTCATCTTACCGCCCTTTATAAGAACTTAAACGTATCACAAACCTAAAGATAAGATGCAAAATTATAAAACACCTCGAGATGATACAGGGGAAAAGGTAGATAACCTTGTGTTCATGGTAATTTTTAAGACAGGACATCAAAAATACACTATTAAAAAGAAATAAATTGAATTTCATTAAAATTAAAAGTTTTTGCTCTGTGAAAGATACTGTCAAGACAATAAAAACAAAAGCTACAGTGTGGGAAAAATATTCTGAAAGGCATAAAGAAACTATTATAAATAACACAAAAAGACCCCTTAAAACTGTAAGAAAAAAAACTGATTAAAAATGGACCAAAGAATTTGGGTTCTCACCAAAGCCACTATGATGTTGAACAAACATATGAAAAGATGTTCTGTGTTGCGTCATCAGAGAAATGTAAACTAAAACGAGATATCACTGCACACCTATATAGACATTGAAATTTGTATAAAAAGCCCAGCAAAACTTTTTACTGACACAGAGAAGATAATTCTGACAATTACATAGGAAAGGCAAATAAACTAGAATAGGTAACGTTGAGAACAGACAAGGAATATGGTACCAGATATCCTCTCCTATTTCAAGACTTGCTATACAACCAAAATAATCAACACTGTTGTGTAGACTCACATATCAAGGAAATAAATGCAGAACACAGAAATAGGTCAACACAAAAACAGCAAACTGACTTTTGACAAAGATTCTAGAGCAACTGATTGCAGAAACCATAGCTTTTGCACAAATAGTATATGAACAATTAGACATTTATATGCAAAAGAGTGTTCACTGATCAAAACCTTTCATCCTATTCAAAATTTAACTTACAATGAGTAACAGATGTTAAATGTAAAACAAAACATTATGAACCAGTGGAAAAAGATAACAGGACATCTGTAAGATCTATGGGCTTGGGTAGGCAGGAGGTTCTTAGATTTCATACAAGGAAAGCTGTTAAACTGGGTTTCCTTAAAACTTATTTTGTGCATGCAAAAGACCTTAAGAGGATGAAAAGACAAGCTACAGATATAAGAAGCTATATAAGAAACATATGTCTTAGAGAACTAGTATCTAAAATATGTTTAATTAAAGTAAAATAACAAAAATACAATTAGAAAATGCACAAAAGACATGAACAAACATCACCAGAGGGGATATACAGGTACGGAGCAGACAACAACACAAGAAGAGATGTTCAACATTACTAGCCAATAGGAAAATGCAAATTAAAGCCATAATTAGGTATCACTACACACAAAAAAACTAATGACAGCATCTAAAGCTGGTAAGAATGAAAAGAAAGTAAGTTACTTGGATATAGCTGATGAGAATATAAAATGACATGACCATAGTGAAAAAATAATACAGGAGTTTAAAAATGAAGGATGTAATGTAACTGTCATATGACCCAATAACTGTACACACAAAAAACTGCATGTTAATATTTATAGCAGCTGTATTCTTATATTGCAGAAAATGGAAACAACCCAGATGTCCCTAGGGTTTGACGATCTATAGTACATTCTTACCATCAAATGCTATTATTTAATGAAAATAACAAACTACTGATACATGTAACAACCTGGATAGATCACTAGAAAAATCTGATCAGCGGTGAAAGCAAATCCTTACTTGTAACATTGTATGACTCCATTTATGTAACATTCTTTTTTTTTTAAAGTTAACATTTTTTATTGGTACATGTATGCAATACACAAAATTACATTCATTTCAGGGGATTCGTACATACATGAAACACACTTTAATTATTTTCTATCCTCTCTTTTCTGATATGACAAAGTATAATGAGGAGACGGAGATAAGACAGGTGACTGCCCCAAGTTGAAGAAAGAGTACAGAGGAAAATGACCAGAGGCAGTAAGAATGCATCTTTTTTGTGATGGAAACCGGATGTATTTTGGGTGTAACAATGTCAGAATTCCTGATTGTGATACTGTACTTTCAAGTTCTGCAAGATACTGCAACTGGAGCAAACAGGGTAAAGAGCATATAGTATCTCTCCTATTATTTCTTACACCGCATGTGAATCTACAATTATCTTTCAAAAAGTTTGCTTATTTATTTATTTATTTATGTACCAGGGATCTCTCACTCGGAACCTTGTGTTGCGAGATAGGTGGCAGTACCACTGAGCTAAATCCCCAGCCCTAAAAAGCTTAATTTTTTAAAAATGGAAAAATTAGGAAAAGTTGATAAAAAGGAATGTAGGTTAAAAAAAAAATATCATGACTGGGGTGTTAAGCAGTACACATCATTAAATTCTGAACACAGAAGCAAATAGGTTTCTTAAGAAAAAGTCCTGATAAGCAAAAATGGCCTGAACAAGGCTTTTGTTTGTTACTCCTGGAAGACATTTTTATAGCCTTAGTCTCATAAAACTACCACTGCCTGTTCTTTGGATTCTCCCCTACTGTGTAACACCTAGCTGGATGTGAAGAGATAAACAGAAGCAACACATATGTTCCCTTCAGATCCATGACTTAGATCGACATGAAGATTAAAGAACAACTATATAATATTGCATTCACTCACCTGGCTCATTCAATTCTGATTTTAGTTTTTTCCGACCTTGAACCTGAGATTTTTTCCTTTGTTTGGCTTCTTTTTCTTTTTCGTCATCACTGAAATCCAATGCCTTACAGATAAAAATATACAAACTATAGTACATGAATTTGCAATTCAAGAGCACATACTTTGGGGTGAGAATAAACCTATTGTCTACCAACTGACATTGCAAACAAGTTGTCTGTTTCACTACTTACTATGTCATACTAATAACTGAATTAATGAGTAAACATTGCATGTTTAAATTTTTAAAAACTTATTTCCCCTTGCTTTGAACACAGAGGGCCCATTATTCTTGAAACTGAGTTGTTCTGCGAGGTCTCTTTTCTATCTTTATGGGTGTGATTTAAAAAAAAGGTGACTGCTGCTGAAGAAGTCACAGTGTTATGTAACAGAAAGAGAGGCTCATAAAAGACACGGCAGCGTGTCCTCATCTACTGGATTCACCAATCAGGCTCTCCCTCAAAGTTGAAGTGAACAGGAAAGGCAAACGTTCTCAATCTATTCAGGAAATGAAGAAGTTATGACAGCACAGATGAAGGCACTTACAAAAGGGACTTCCAGAACTGCTTCGGCAAGCGGCAATGATGGGAAAAGTGTGTTCAAAATAAAGGGGAATATTTTGAGGGGGATTAATGGCAATGTGTCTTTTACTTCAATAAAATTTTTCTACTTAAAATTTTTTAATCACACCTCATATTTTGAAATAGTGAGTTTTTTTTTCGATGAATGCTCAATGAGTCTTCATTAACACAAGCCATTAATCAAGCTGACCAATCACGGCTTGGTTTTTCTTTTTTGGGGGGTACTAGGGATTGAACTTGGGTCCTTGAGAGTTTGCAAGGCAGGCGGCAGAACCACTGAGCTAAAACCCTGGCCCAAGGCTTGGTTTTTCTTTGTCTCTTATTTCACAGAAAGTTTCAAATCAGTAACTTTAAAATGCATATTTAACAATCTCCAGATATGTGTATTTCCTCATTAGAAGTCTGACCTGTAGATTCATCATTAACACCAGGTGCCAATGGAAGTAGTTGAGATTAAGCATATTTCATACATGATTATTCAATATAACAATAAAAAAACCTTATTTTATGACTCACTCACTCAAAAATACACACATACCCATTATATGCCAGCCTTGCTCTAAACTCTCTAAAGGATTAATTCTTCACCGGTATACAGCTCCTTAACTCCTTTTACAATGTAATTTCAGATATACAGTAAAGCATATAAATAAATGGAAAGTACCAAAATAAAAACATCATGGGGATGTTATTTAGTTAGGACTCAGGAAAAGGGCTTCCCTAATCAGATATATGATCCAAGTTTTATGGAGACATCACATTAAATTAGAAATATAAAATCCACTCTTACTAAGGATTTCTGTTATAGCTTACCAGAAAACCAAGATTCATGAGCTATATATGCTTAGCATATTTCTTATATTTCAGGTATGTTTTTTTCATCAACACAGGAAAAGATTATCTGTTTCATATAAAAGGCTATGTAGGCAATGCACAGATTTTAAAATACATATAAAAGACTGTGTATGGAATTTCCAGTATGGACTTACTGAAATATATTCTAGATCAAATCCTCCACAGGCTAGCAGTCCACATATCTCAAAATCTATAATCAAAAATTTAAAGTCAACTAATTTTAGTGCTTTCAAGTGCCTAATTTTTTACCATTAATCTTAATGTGCTAAGATTTTTTTAAAATGTGGCATCTGCTGAACACCAGAAAATAATGAGATTAGATAGAATTCATTTTCTTTGAATTGTTCAGTCAAATGGAGAAACAGATAAACCAAAGATAGAATGAACAAGTACTGTGGCTTAGTGCTACAGGATTGCAGGGCATGATAAAGAGAGAAAAAAAGGGAAGGAAGACTTCTTGGTATGGATAACCCAAGCTAAATACCTAATGAGAAATTAGCCATGGAAATAAGGCAACGGCAATCTTCAGAGAATGGGAACAATATGTGCAGATGCAGGTGCATGAAAGAATATGGTATTTGTAAGGCAAATTGAAAGTGTGTATGCAGCAAAAGAGAAAAAGTGAATGTTAATAAAGATTATTATACCATCTTAAATCACTGTGCACCACCCCAGGAGCAAGAAAGAGAAATTAAGGGTATTGAGAATAGTTAGGCTCCAGTAAATTTTATGCAATATTTTCACAGCTCACAGTCTCTACAATTTTCTTTTATATGTAAGCTTCCTACCTTTAAAGCACATCATTTTTTGTTTTTAGGTGAAACCTAACAAATTCTAATCTGTGATTAATGTCAGGTAGCAATTCTGGACTACAAAATGTCAGCAACAATTATTACAAAATTAAAACCCAGCATATTTCATGATCCATTCTGCCACCTGAAAAAAAATGAACATCAAGGAAGCATGAAGCACGATGTAATTCTGTAATTAACCTAACCATCCAGTTTCATAAGCAACTAACATCATCATAATTAATAATTTTAATGGTTAGGTATGATACAACAGAAATGTATTAAGAGTACCTGGGTTTCACAAAGAGATATTTTAAGATCTATGTGACTCTCAACACTTTTAACACATAATTTCAGTAATAAAGTACTCTAAACAGAATGCTAAGTAAATATAAAGAGCAATAATGGGAATCCCATGCATACATCACATAACAGAAAATACATTTCAATTTATAATAGATACTAAACCAGGATCACTCACTGATTAAGTGACTCAGATCTGTATAAATCGGATCTCTAAGGGGGGGCCTAAACCTGATTTATGTTAAAAATTAACAAAGACTATGATCATTGGCACTGCCTGAAAACACTTAAAATAATCAAAGTTATATGTGCAAATACCAAAAAACCATACTATACTGAAACAATTTTTTTCAGAACTGAGCACAAGAAAATCTGCTTTAAAATCTCTAACAATATTTTTTCATTGTATATCCTCTTTACCTTATAACCATTACATAAAACTTGTTTGTGTTTTATATATTATTATTCATATACACTATATGATGTTAGAAGTTTTTTTTTATAAAATTATATCCTGAATCATTTTATGGATAGGCAGATATAATTACTTAGTTCTTTTGAAATACCTTTAAAGATGAATGATTTTAATTTAATGGAATACCTAAAGATTTTTACTATATCAAAGATAAATGTCAATCCTCTAACATTAAAAAAAGTATTTTCTATATCATTGTGACAGAAATTAATTTATTCAGATTACAGGAGTGCATATAACAAAGCAGACATTTTCTGAGACTAAAAAAGGAACATCTTGTAATTACTGTGTAAACTTTATTTAAAAATAAAAAAAATTTTCCATAAGAAAAAAAAAAAATCTTGAGTTAGCCAAATGATTTTACTGCATAATTCACTCATTTACATATTATTCCCAAATTAATTTCACATCCCCAGAAAGACTACATTATCAATCGACCTTGGAGGATAAAACTATTATCTTACTAACATAGATACAAAAAGAAAATCAAGCCAGGGATTTAGCTCAGTGGTTCTGTCACCTGCCCTGCAACAAGGGCAAGGTCCCGAGTTCAATCCCTGGTACCAAGAGGAAAAAAAAAAAAAATCAAGTGGTCTCTTTTAAGGTAATTATACTGTAAAATATGGGGAGGTAGATAGCATCTGATGATTTTGTAACTTCAAAACAAGGGCAACTTACTAAAAGCATCACAGTGTCTTCATGTCCTATATGATTAATTTAACTGAGTAATATATTTTAAATAATGATATCTACCTTTATCAGTTATCAACAAAGTTGATTAAAACAGGACATTACAAGGCAGATTATAGGCAGATAATTATTATTAAAAGTGTATAATATTAAATGCACTACTTAGTGAGTATAAACACTTATACTTACATCCAGTGGTGGTTCCTGATCATTCTTCCATGATGCATCTGATCCCCTATCCCTGTAAGAAAACACGTCAGAGAAGGGTTACTGGCAAGACTCAGACAAATGCTTAAAACAGTATGAAAAATACTCAAGTTCAAGACAGGGGTTCAATCTTCAATTTTGCAATGTATGTGAAACTAATAAAAAAATAAAAGTACATTTATGTCATTTACCTGTAGCAAAAGATAATAGACCATTTATGTGTCCTTTACCTTATGTTAAGTGATGTGGTAAGCTCACAATAAAAACAAAGTTTGAACACATGTGACTATTAGGACTAGGAAATGAAGATGACATTCCAAGGCTGCAATATGCAGGCAGAAGTGGTTTTGTAATTTTTCTAAATTTTACTTTCATGATATCTGAAGTTTGCATGAAACTAGTTCAACAAGTAAGTGTTTGTTCAACATCAACTACTCATGAGATCCTAGAATTTAAAGACATAACTAGACAATTTCCCAACTGGTGCAATACAAGAAATCAAAATCCACTAAAGATCAAGTAAAATTCCATAAAGCACTTTTAACAAAACAGAATGTAGAGTACACGGGAAGCTGAGATTAAAAGAGCCTTCACTGGCTGGTGAGCTGAGCTTCCCCCACTTCAAAGGCAAAGCATTATACAGTACAGAGACATTCCTCTAACTACCAAGTTATGCTCCCATGGCTGGGTTTTAAATGAACTCGTCGCTAAGTGAGGAACTGTATATTCTATGAACATTACAATATTCAGAACAAAGAAGTGATCAAAGGAAACTCCAACTCGAAGAGTTGGTTTTTATCTGCATAATTTTATGTGCAGTACTGTAATGTGTAAAAGAATATAAAACTACAGTAGCATCCTGTACAATCAGCAAAAACTACAGTATTGTATTTAAAAAAAGGACTCTCAGGCTCTATAAACAAGACATACAGAACTATATGAAAAAAAAAAGATGGGTTATAAATCTGAACAGTCATTAGAAGGAGAATATCCGTGCTAAGATCCCATGACAGACCCCAAAACACATAGTCAGGTGGCACCTCAGAAGGACGGACTAAATTCCCAATTCTTTGCTTTATTTCTAATACTTTTCATGTGGAGTTCAAATCAATAAAAGACTGCTCCTACTACCTAAAATGCTTTGATAAACATTTTCAGAAAAGCTTTTTGGTTACCTGCTTTAAGCTATTTTGTTAAAGCTAAATATAGGAAATATTCACAGCAACATCTTAAAATTCAGAGCAGAATGAAATGTTATTTTAGGCATCATTCTAGAACATTTCAAAATCTTTATGAGTTTTACGTTTATTTATTTTCCCTGTCAGCTATTAGAAAAATTAATCTTACAGAGCTTAAATAATTTTGGCACAATGTTCCTTTCAAAAATTGTGTGGAATATAAAACATGAGTTCAATAAATTATCAAGACCCACATTTTCATCTCTGAAATAGTAAGTGAAATTTAGACTTGATTTAAAATGGAAGTTGTAGGGAGACCAAACTTTTGCAGGCTTTTCTTCCATTCCTCATTAGACTACACTTTAAGTGGTTCATTACATCATGCCAATGCACTCCGGTTATTTGTACAGAAAAATCCATTCTACTTGAATTCATATACCATGTTTAAATAAAAAGTTATGCAATTATAACAAGTGCTACTAATAAAGGGAGCTCTCTAGCTAATACTGGGCAACAAAACCAACACCCAAAAACAACACAGCAGGTGGAGCACAAACATCCAGAAACATTACGAGCCACACGTGGAGTGGCAACAGGTTCACAGCCTGAACGCAGCACTCAGTCACTGGATGGGTTGGCCAACTTCTCATGGCTTATACATGACTTTAGAGGGACACATGTCAGTTGCTGCTCATGTAAATTTATAATTTATTTATAACTTCAAATTTAGTCATTTTTTTCTCTTGAAAATTATACTTTCATTGAATAGCTAATCTCATGAATGTAACATAGACAGAATTTCATTTAAAAATAGAAAAGAATCTTTCACTGATAGTGAAGTAGCTTGTTTACAAAACTAAGTATTTATGGAAAAAACAATGAGCTAGAACTCAAAAATTCATAAGATTTTGGGGCTACATATGGTTCAAAAATGTTCTTACTGGTTGACCATGTCACTTTGGGAAAATAATTAAATATTTTCTACTTGTAAAATCTGATAATAAATAATAGTTTTCAGGGTTGAAAGCAGAAAGACAAATGAAGTCTCTGGGAGACAGACCATTTAACTAAAAGAAACTACCATCAATAAAAATTACTCTTAAAATGTAAATGTCAGGTAAGTGAAGACCTCATACATCAATGAAGTACTTACTGTTTAAGTTTTTCTGTGAAAACATACTGGGTAAAATCTTTCATTGATGGAGCAAAATACATAGTCTCCTTTATTTTAATACCTTTACTTTCAATGTGGTCTGAAGAATTAAACCGCAACACATAAAATGGATGTGCAACAGGACCAAATATCTCAAATATCTGTAAAACAGAAGAAATAGAAAGACTTCATTTAACATGTAAAATAATGATTTGAGAAGTTAGCAATATTTAAAAATACCACTAATAATTGCTAAAGGAATATAATTTTGTCAATGTTAGAGCAATAAATTATTTTTAAATCACACACACACACACACACACACACACACACACACACACACACACCACCGCCTTTTGTGATACTGAGAATCAAGCACAGGGCCTTTACACTAAGGTACATCCCAGACTGTTTTTTATTTGACACAGAGTCATGCTAAGTCACTAAAATGCCCAAGCTGGGCTCGCTCGAACTTGCAATCCTCTGCCTCAGCCTCCCAGAATCTGGAATACAGGCATGTGATACAACCCCAGGCTTAAGTCATTTTAATACACTAAAAGTCTTCATATTTTGATTATAAATTTATTAGCTCATCCAAAATTTTTATGAATATAAAAGAACTGCAACTGTTTTGTGCTAAATTTAAATCACTTTGGTTTTAACTTGTAGACTCTAGATTCAAGTATGTTTTAAATTATTGCTTAAGTTGTAAGGTACAGGAAATTGTAATTGGTAACTTTTGAAAATAAAATACTATGTATTTGGAATCTTATAATGGAAACACAATAGTAAAGTTTTGATTCAAAACAGGTACTAGGTCAATTGTTGTTTCTAAAGAGTGTTCAATATTGCTAAAACATTAAACCATAACTTTTCCTGTATTAAAAAGTAGATTTGAACTTGAAGATTCTTATTTCTAAAAACTCAAAGATGTTACATCCTCTAACTTAATATCTGAATTTAAAAAAAAGTTTCTGATAATAAATGTCTAATAAAGAGACTAGATGTCAGTGTATATTTTTCCAATCTTTTCTATTGGTATTCTTTTGAGATTATACTGTAGTTTTGTATTCTTCCCCTCTTTAAAAATTAATACATACATAGTTTATTAAATTTTTTCATGTTATATTCTTCTTGAGCATACTTTCCGAGGCTTTCATAATGCTCCTTTAAATTTATTCACTAGTGCTATAAGAAATTTGGCCATATTCCAATTTGTTCAGCATAATACATGAAGGCCAAGATAGACATCTTTTTATGTTAATCTCTAAAATTTCTTAAACTTTCTAAAACTTGATTTGGAAGAAGTGGAATTAAAGTGTCGTAACTATTAGAGCTCTTGATGAAGTATAATCTACTAAATACTTCTGGCCAATTTATACCAACTACACTGAAAGTGCCTATTTTACCACAATCCTTTATTTTACCACACCCCTTGTAGTTGATTACAAAATGTTTTCTCCTTATTCTGTAACCTGTATTATCCAAGCTTTTATTCATTTTTATTAAAGCATTAAAACAGATAACCCATCAAGGGTATGATTACTCTAAAAACATGGAGAGGCCATTTAAGACAATTAAAATGCCAATGTATTCTGACATAACAATAGTGTCAAAAATTTTAAAGTTTTTCGATTTTAAAAGAAAAACAAATAATCTAAGAAAATAGGAAGACATCAGCATTGAAAACGTGTAGATAAAAACAGTGAAGTTCTTCTAAGGAAAACTGAAAACGATGGAAGGAATGTCGTGTTGTAACTCCTGCAGCCCATACTATACATATGGTAATACTTTACTGTCTTACTTTCCCTTGATAATTCTTAATTTTTACTCCCTTGATAAATACAGACAAACCTGATTTTTAGGTTAGAGATATAGCCTATCTTATAAAAAGATTTCTATGAATCTGTTAGTAGAAGGTAAAATCATTTTCTGCAACCTGCTACATACAGCTATTTCCCAGGGATCTGTTTCCTGAATAGCATGATCTCATGTAACTGAAGACTACTTCACTGGAGAAATTTCTACTGAGTTGATGCAGCCTGTTTTGCACTAAAATATAAGTGGCATTCAAAATTCTTGGGCAAAAAAGCAAAACACAATTTTCCAGTTGCCTATTCCTGGGATCTGAAATGTTTATGAGCCAGAGCTAATAATGAAATAATTATAAGGTTGTGAGTAAAAAACCAACCAACTCACAGTAGGTAATAGACATACCACAGAACTACTAGGTGGAATGAACCTATATTAACTGACAGGTACTCATGGTCCTACTTCAAATAGACTCAGGAAAATCTACTGGGTTCAGACAAGCAATTCAGTTAACCCAGAGTTACAGAAAAGAAGGATTTAACAATATTTTAAATAATTATCAGTTTCAAAGAATAGATCTTAGCTTGACTAATGCTTAAAAGCTAACCTATAAAGAACAATTTTAAACACAGCAGGCTCAGGACACCCACATCCTCTCATACTGTTCTATTTGAGTAACTCACATCCTTGCTCAGTTATTCCACTCAACTTTTGGGATTGTGTAATTTTAATACCTTAACTTGAGATAAAACCAAAGAAAGTAATAGGCCATGAGGAGAAAATCCAGCAATTTAGCAGAATTTAAGAGAGTGATAACTGAGATATTTACTTTGAGGCAGGCAAGCAGCTTTTGTGTGTGGAGGGGGTGGTTCAGGGGCTCAAACTTGGGACCTTCCCCTTGCAAGGCAGGCAGCGGTAGCACTGAGCTAAATCCCTGGCCCAGGCAAGCACTTTTTAACTTGAATAAGTATACATGCTCCATGGAAATGCTTTTATGAAGAATTCCTGCCACACAGAGGCTCAACCATGCCACTAGCACAACGCAGTACTGACATAATGCAGGCCATGTTGGGGAAAACTGACAAGCAGAAAAGCAGTGGAGGGTGTGCACAGCACAGGCCCAACTTAGACATTTCAGTGGATTGACGAGCTGCACTCTCTTCCCCCTCTACTCACACACACATAACATGCACACACTCAGGAGTTACTCTGAGGGATGAGGTTACTACTCCCAGTTTCTTTAAGTCACAAATACATCAAGGAATCTCTAGCTCCAGGAGCAACACTGGAGGGCTGTGGATGTGACAAGCTGAGATCTGAACGTGGCCACTCCGGAACAGCCTTCAGAGAATGCCATTATTCTGCTCTCCTGTCTCTCCAGCTAAGCTAGCCTTGACTAAATTACTAATAGGAGAAAGAACATGAGAAAATTAACCTTTACACCTATCTAGAATTGCCCTTCATCAATCATGTTATGCTTTTTTGGCCCTCTATTAATAAAAATGAAGAAAATACAGTCAAGCAGAGAGTATCCTAATACACTGGTTAAGGCAGGTGATATTTCAAAGCTAGACAGAGGGAGGATAAAGCAACACTCCATCCGTACCATAGAGGAACTTTCAGAAAATCATCACATCCTACCAAGTCTGTAATATAATCTTTAATAAATTCCTATTCAATAATATTTGAGAGGGAAATAGACACCACTACTTACCACAGGGAAGTGATCATTACTGAGGGTAAGGGTGAAGGTGGAAATACAAATCTGAGATTGACCTCTCTAACGGTGAGGAAGGAAGCAGGGGCGGGGGGAACGAACCTCAGTTGTGAGCTCCATTTGTTTTAGCAGTGTGATTTTTCTTAGCAAGTTTTCTTACCAGTTTTAAAATGTCAATAATTCTTCCTTACAGGATTTCAAGTAATTTTGTATAAGATAAAGAACATAAAGTATCAGTGTGGTTAATTATCAGTGTGTTGAGTGTGAAGAACAGAGGGAAAAAGTGGTGCAACAGAGGAAAAAAGAGGTACAACAGTTGGCTACTGTGGAGGCAAAACCAGTGTCTTGCTTAGATATGCTCATGATCTAAAAGAGCTTCAATTTTATATTCTGATCCAAGGTTGGTTTTACAGATACTCTCTAAACCTTCCCCTTTCCCAATTTGGGGAATCAATTCAAAGTACTTAGATTTATAACCAAGTGTTTTGAAATACCGGAATTTACTAAACTCTCTTAAGTGCCAGGTGTAATGTTCTCCTCTAGCTTATGCCACACCGCTAAAGCTAGAGGTGTGTTACACATTCACCTGGTGTCTTTCAAACTCAAGTAACAGAAGAGCTGATTATTATTAGTCACAACTGTGGGTCTGAAAATCTCACATATGGTACACGGATAAAAATATCTATTTAGGGGTTTTAATCAGCAAAATGTTGGGTATTTTGAAATTAAAAGCATCTAAATGAGCTACTAAGAGAAGGCAACAGTCATGAAAAACAAGCACAAATTAAGAAAATATGGAGTTTTATAACTTCTCTTCACATTTAGAAAATCAAGACATATGTTTATCTTGCCACCTCTCCCCTCTCCTCTTCTGTCACTACTTTTTTGAGGACCAGAAGTGTTTTTTTCCAAAACAAAGGGTTGGTTTCTTAAGACTGGTGACCAATGGACATGAGGAGCTACCTCACAGCATAACCATGTGCTCACTTCCAATGCCTTTTCTAATGACCTTTGCTAAGGTAAAGGCCCTTCTGTATCTCTAACCCCTTGCAGACATCAGCAGTAAACACCGAGTTTGTACACATTATAGCCTCTTCCTGTTTATCAAAAGTTCTGAGACCTACATGTATAATAAAGATACTAAGCCTAAGTATTCGAAAGGAAAAAAAAATCCACAGCACCATCTGTTAGACGCTGTGAGTCTTCTTTTCCTTCATGAATTTTCTTTCTTTCTTTCTTTTTTTTTTTTTGTGGTACCGGGGATCGAACCCTTCATGAATTTTCTAAAAAAATGGAAAAAATTATTAGTTCTTGACTCCAATAAATTTTGCCATCAACTGCCTTGTAATAGGGTGACCCAGTACTATGTTAAATTTGTCTATCAACCTATAAAACATATGGCAATGGTAAAGCAGCAGGAATGATAAAAACCTGATCCCTTTCTGAACTGTATTAAAAAGCTGGGCATGGTGGTATACAGCTATAGCTCCAGCACTCAGTAGGCTGAGGCAGGAGTTCAAGGCCATCCTGGGCTATATAGTGAGTTCAAGGGCAGCCTGAATTATACAGTGAGAACCTGTTTCAAAAAAGGAAAAAAACAAAACACAAAACTTTCCACTATGAATGGTATTAGAGTTCCACAGTGGAAACGCAAGTGGAAAAAAGGAAAAGTTAAGTGAGAAGACTCAGTAGTATAGTTTAACAAATTTGCTTTTTCCTAAATGAACATAAATTAATTACATTCACTGGAATGCAGGCTGTATACGTATATTGGGGAATACAAAGGTTAATAAAACTGTCCTATTTGCCAAGAAATGAACACTTGTTAGTACTGATCTTCTTGATCATAGAAGGCTTTATGTCCTCTATTGATTGCTCAGGATTGTCTACTTGCTGGGTAGTGTGTGGTTTCCTAGACAAAAGGTAAACATGTAAGGTGCTCCTAGGAAGATGTTAAAAGAGACCCAATCATATGGTGGTTCCATATTCCTAAGTTCCTAGCTTATGCTCACAGTGACATTTCTCTCCTGTCACCAAAATCTTTTCCCACTTGAATGATTCCACTTTGAGCTTCCATCTGAGGAAGCCAAGTCTAAAAAGTTTGACAGCCACTACTTACAGGGAGCTCACAAACCAAAAATGGTTAAGAACTACTGTATTACTCACAGAAAATCTTCACTGGGCTCCAAATGCTTGATGGGTTAGAATTATGTCTTATTCAAAAGAGTGCCTGGTAAACATTAGCAAAGAATTCTACATATGTGTATAATGACTTATATATGAAAGATGAATGAGCAACATTTAACCAATTGATAGACAGCCACTAACTACTGAAGGAAATCAAGGATGTGTTACAAGTTGAGAGCTCTAGATTGCTCATGTAATAAAATTAATAAAATCTTCTTAAGACAAATAGGGAAAGTCAGAAACAGAAACATCAACCAAAGATAGAGAATAGTTTCTAGGATTTGAGTTAACAAACCTTTCCTGCTGCTTGTCGATCTCTTCTGAAAATTACAGTCTCCTCATTAACTGGAGGCAGGTTAGTCGTTGATTCAATTATTACTGAAAAATTAAAGGACAAATGTTATTTTAAGATTTAATCAGAATATAATATAGAAATACAGTGAGAATTTAGGCTTAATCTCAACATAATTGAAAATAAAATTTTGTGAAGATATCCAGTGACTATTTCTCTTCAATAAAAAAATTATCAAATAGCACAGGGTAATGAATTATTAATATTTTTATACAGAGCTATAATTCTAAGAAAAATATTAAACCATAAAATCTAACAAAAAAATTCAAATCACCCTTTCCCTTGAAAGTATTTTCACATTCAAGCAATACATATTTGTCAGGCAATTTTTACCATAAATAGGATCTTCACATTTAGTCACAAAATTCCTGTTCCAAGTTAGTCTTGTTTCTCATTCTACAGTTCTTTCCTGCAAAGCACTATTTATGAATAAATGAAAAAGTTAAATTAATGCTTACTAAAACATCTTCCTTTGAACAGATAAAGCAGGAGTGAGAGACCCCCACAATAATTCTTCTTCTTCTTCTTTTATTTTTGGTAATGGGGATTGAACTCGGGTCCTTGCGCTTACCGCTTACAAGGCAGGCCACCGAACCACTGAGCTAAATCCTCAGCCCCTCCCACAATAATTCTTCTTATTATATTTATCTTCCCTTCTTAAAAAGCAAAAAAGCACTTTCCCACGGGGTTAATAGTCTCTAACTCTTTCAAGCGCCACAAGTGCTAATCTACTCCTGCAAAGAGATAGACAGAAACACACACACACCCACACACACACACACACACACACACCCACACACACACACACATACAGTTCTTAAACAATTAGTAACAAGCTATAATACTGTTACATTAAGCAGATAACCATGTCCATCTGGAGAATGAAATGTGTACTAGCTCAGATTTACTAAAATTAATTCAAAGAATTTCTTTTGTATTCCTATCAATTTCTAAGGTTAGTGCTTCTTAGTTATAAACATACACATAAGTAATAGATCTTGGGTCAGTATTTTTTTTTAATAAAATCTGCTTTTGGAATAAAGCTGATAAGATTAACGATGACAATACATAGTAAAACTTCATTTGTAACCATCACTCCTCCCTAATTTCTTACCCTAAGAGTCAAATTATAGAAAATTAAAAATTACCTAATCTGATACTTTCAATTTAAAAAAGGATTCAAAAGGTCAGCTCCAGCACATAAAAAACTCCAGAAGAGACTGTACTATATATTGATAAAAACTGTTAAAGGCTCAAGGACCCGAGTTCAATCCCCGGTACCAAAAACAAAAACAAAAAAAATTTGTTAAAGGCTCTCAAACTCATACTCTGAAAGTATGCACCAGGAAAGTGGTGGCGAGCCTATAGAACCCATGCCACAGAGAGCTGTTCGGATTACTGCAAGCTCTAAAAGGCTCAGCATCACTTCACTAGGATAAGATCATTCTGTGATACTTCTCAACTTCTATCTTGATAATTACTAATTACTTCCTTGTATTTTCCAAAGGAAAGCAAAACAAACAAAAGCACAGGATGACATGTAGAACTCCAGAGTACAATGGAAATCCTTACTTTTCATCTTTAGATTCTTGTTAAAGTCAAACACTATTTTTGTCTAATGTACTAGTATTTATTTTTCTTTTTTTATAATTTGGTTAAAATGATTTTAGCTATTTTAGCTTTTCAAAATACAACAGTATGTAATAGTAGCACATGCTGATTTTGATTTTTTTTTATTACTCCCAGGTTACAATTGTTAGCTTATTACAATGTATTAATATATTAATACTAAGATGCTTTAAAAAGCATTATTCCAACTATATCATATAGTTGACATTTATTTACTTGAGGATCAGCATTATGACCTACAATTCATCCGTATACACCAAATCTAGTAAGTGCTCAACTCATATAATCAAGGCATTAGTCATCTATTTGTCTATGCATATTATTAAATACCATGAAGCAATTAAAATACTAAGAAATGCGATGAACTGGAAATATGTGAAAGTTTTAATAATCAAGATGTTTATAAAACATTTTACTTTAAATTTTAACTAAAATATACAAATTACAAAATTATGGGTTAATTTTTTTTAAATATTGGTATGGACACCACTGGAAAAGGTAAAAAGATAAAGTCTATTTCAACCAATAACTCATAACTGATCATAGAGTAAATGACTTGAATTCTGTGTTCTTAGGGTCTGTAAACTAAAGAGGGCTCATGAACAATTTAGTTCCTTTTCCCAATTCAAAAATCCTATTACTCTGTCAGTTCTATTCTCAGGGGTATCTTACTACGAGAGATAATGGTACCCATATTCACATGAAGGTCTCCCACATTTACTACCTTATGTCTTAGGACTGAGGAAATCTAAAATAACCAGTTGTTGCCATATCATGTCATTAATATCATTAAATGACAACTTCCTAATTTGTGTGTTTATGAAAAAAATCAAACATGGTAGATAGAATGGCTCACCCAACAACATCCACAATCTAATCCCTGAAACATGAATATGTTACATTTCAAAAGGGACTCTGCAGATGTGCTAAGGTTAAAAACCTTCTAAAGAAGGAAAAGCTTAATCTAAGCAGTCCTTAAAAGCAGAAAATCTTCCAGAGTATTGTCAGAAGATGTAATGATAGAGGAAAGGTCCAAGGGAAATGTTACATTACTGGTTTTGAAGATGAAGGAAGGCAGCTAGGAGCCAAGAAATGTGGCCAGAGTCTAGAATACAACGGGAACAAAGAGATGGATTCTGGCTAAGAGCCCCAGAAAGGAGCTCAGCCTTGCTGGAGACCTGGATTTTAGCTCACTAAGACTCAAAGACCTGTATAAGGCTTATAGTCTATAGAATTATAGGATAATAAATTGTGCAATTGTAGGCCACTAAATCTGTGGTTATCTGTTATAACAGCCATAGAAAACTAATAAAGAAAACTCTGAAGATGTCGGTAAATAATTTTTCACTTTTATAGAGAAACTGTATATAAGCAAAAACTGAAGTTTATTCCTTCAAGCTTAATTACTGCAAAATGAAGAGTTTTACTAGTCATAAAGACCTTGACTTGATTATTAGTGCATGCTTGGACATAAGTTTAGTTAATGAAATTATTTACATACCTAATTGTTCAATAATACTTGAAACCACTCCAAGAGGTTTTAATTCAATATCTTCAGGCAAAGTAACAGTGAGTTCTTCAACAGAAGGTAGTTCCTATAATATAAAAAAGCATTAATCATCCTCTAGCTTCAACTTTAAAAATGAGAAATATTTTCCTTTTGATGTGCTAAAGGCATCTCTGAAGATACAACATTAAATGCTTAAAACATGTCTTTAATGGTAACCTTTTCTTTAGTAGCTGCAGACTTCTGATAGCATTTCTCCCATTTAAATTACTTAATGGGTCTAGAAAAATATACCCTAAATCCAATTAAACTAAGAATACAGACCTAAATACCATTCTAGATATTTTCCAATCACAGTTGGACAAAAGACTCTCCCCCTTTTAAAGGAAAAATTAAGGAGTCCAGAGACGTCCTATTTGTAGAGAAATAATTCTACTGGTAAGTACAATTCCTCCATAAGGGAGTTCTTTCTCTCAACTGTATTGTTAATTAATTAACTTGTGATTAAATAGAACACACAAGCAGCAATCTTTTCTGTGGCTGTGTGAAGAAGTGAAGTCTGGCCTCTTCAAGAAAAGGTGGTGTGATACCCATCAAACACAGAATTCCTAGAAACAGAATGCAGCATGTAAAAGCTGTGAAGGTGTAACCTGATGTTCTCTCTCTAGGTTAAAAAATAATATTCTTGGGCTGGGGATTTAGCTCAGCGGTTCAGTGGCCTGCCTTGCAAGTGCAAGGACCTAAGTTCAATCCCCGGTACCCCTCCCCTAAAAAAATATTCTTTACACCTATAGATCTCCCTCTTTTTGACCCAGATGTAAACTATATCTCAGTTGCTATAGAAACTAATTATTGAAGCATAGATGAAGAGAAATCTAAGAATAAAACTGACCTAAGCCTTTAGATTAAATGAACAGCTTTCTGTTCTTGACTCAACCCAAATGATATTAACTCTTAAAGTTTTTCCTGAAAAACTTTTGCCAAAAGTGCAAACACCCTGCCAGTAGCGCATTAGAAGTTAATTTGGGAGGATAACTTTTGTTAACAGTCTATGTATTTTTCCAAAGTATTTCCTATGCAGATATAAACTTTACATTTCTAATTTGAAAATAATGATTAAGTAAAATGTTCATATTTAACACTACCTTCTTGAGCCTATCATAACCTGCACATCATTCTACATCAGAACTTAAATATTTACAAAATTTTATTCAACACATTGTATTCCACTACATAAGTATACCACAGTTTAACACGGCAACCACCTAATACATTTATCTGCCCTTCTTGAATTTTCACCATTGAACACAACACTGCACAATATATACAAGGAACATTTACTGTAACTCCTGTGATAAAATCTTTAAGTGGACCTACTATATTAAAAGGATTATATATTCCATACTTGATAAATACTGCTGTTTATTTTCAAAATAATATCAATTCACTTTCACAAATGATGTATGAGAGATGTTTCTCACACCTTGCCATTAATGAGAAGTAAACTTTCTCTGCCAGTCTGACAAATATAAAATAGTATCTTGTTTTAATCTGAACTTCCTCATTAATAAGAAAAACTGGACATCCCTGCACCTCTCCTGTTCACCTGTACTGTTTATGAACTGTGCATATACTTTTTGTGCTTTTATTTCAGAAAGTTTCTTATTCATTTGTAAGTCAGGTTTGGATTTTTAAGAAAATTTGTTCTTCATCAAACATGCAGCAAATGTCTCTTATCACCCCAGCTTTTATTTTCTTTTTTTTTAAGTATTTAAGTTGCTTTAATGAAACTCTGGCACTTCAATTTTGTTCTAATCAAATATATCAATGTTTTGTTTGGGCTTTGGAAAATTCCACTGTAATATTTACATAAATGATAGTTTTGAAATCATTTAAAACATTCTCTCATGTTTTTAATAGTTTCATTTTTAATATTTGTATATTTGGTCCATTCCTAATTTTATTCTTGCATAAAAGTGAAGCAGAGACTAGCATCATCTAAATTAATTTGCTAATAATCCCCCAGGTTGTAGACTAATCTGTCTTTTCCCCTGCTGATTTGTAAACCAAACTTTTAACATATACTAAATGTACTTACATACTCATATTTTTGTTTTATTACCAAAATTTCCAACCAGTTTAATTGATCTGTGTCAGTCTCAGGACTAGTTTAACGGAGGCTTTCACAACATGTCTCAGTTCTATCTGGGAAGAAAGGCTTAATTCCTCTACCAAATCCATCAGTATATTTCCCTTTGAAATGTTCTTACTGTTCTCATATTTATTTTACCATATAAAACTTTAGAACCATTGTATCATATTCATGTTAGGATCGGTCAAGATCACATTACATTTGTCTTTGCATAAATCTTACATTAAATGGTTAGTGTACTTCAAGTTATCTTGCACATTTAGGTGACTTCAAGCTATTTCCCACATTACTTGCTATTATAAATTCTTAGTTATTTAGTATCTTATTGCTGTAATAACTGGATTGTAAAGTACTATTTGAACAAAAGAAAACATGCTGAAATTTACTGCTAGTGGTTTGCACATTCCATATATAATCACATTTTCAAGTAAGTCATCATTTCAGTAGTAGTACATCATACTTTTCACTTGTGAAATGATATTGGCTGGTATTTTCAGAATTTCATGTGTCAAGAAACTGTGATGATACTAGAAATGATGTCTGACTCTATCTGGAATGTTTCGAATGTTAAGCATAATAATGCATTTTGACTAGAATTTCTTTTTAATAGGGTTACAAAGCATAAATCTATTCCTATAAGGTTTTTATATCAGAAATTACTAGAGAACTCTATCAAATGTTTTCCATCATTGAGGTCATTATATGAGGTAATTTTCTGTAGGTTCAGCAAGCTCAGTCTACAGGGTCTGATGCAGTCCAATGTTCTGCTCTAAGAACTTTCACAAGGACTAAAATAGGGTATACACAGCCAGAATACTTGTAGTGAGAGAGGGATTCACTCCTAATGTCAGAAAGTGTTGGTCAGGCCCCCTTAACTCCTGCTGCTACCTAGTTTCTGATCTATGTATTAGAAGAATGAAAAGTTTTGGTCACAAATGGGAAGGATTTCTGATACTGTATAGAAGCAAATTTAGAGAAAAAAACAGACGTTGCTTTCTGTGATCACCATTATGTAGTACTTGCAATTCTACTTCAGTAATCCTAGCCTATACCGGAGGAATTTATAGTTTCAAAAGTCCAGTGAAGACATTAAGTTGCTTCCTGATAATAAAAGACCTACCTGTAAGTGATGAACATAAAATCTCAATTCAAAGTACTCTGCAGAACACAAGAGATATATAATGGACTAAATACTGCATGCAAAACAAGCAAGAAATAAGTAAATGAAACCAGTCTTGTACAATTCCAAGGTGGGAGCCCATAAGAGTTTACCTTTCAATGATCAATTAAGTTGACAAGTTTGTATTTGCTTTGAAAATGGCAGATATTTGGGAGACTGAGTCAAGGGAATACAGAGCATTTGTTTCTTTTAAGTGACCAAGCTATTAGAGAAGGATAAAGAGGGAAAAACATTTCAAACCCTACTGACAAGAATTCACCCAAAAGATACGCTTTCCATGAAGCAGAATTTTAAAGGTTCAGTAGGGGAAAGACTTTTCAAAGATTGGAAAAACAAGTTCCTTGGATCACCCTGTCAGATGGAGCAGTAAGATCTTGTCTTCATGTCTGGATGCCAAATGTCACCATCTCTTTCCCACTGCTAAATCTAAAGTGTCACATCACTATCAACCCTACTAAATTCTTCACCAAATTATCTAGATGCTTTTCCTTCCTCAAAGAATATTGCTGTTTAATATTTTATTTACTTGCTTGCTATACAAGAGCTAACCAGAAATCTCAGAAATCAAAGTCTTTTTGAGTAAAGAAGAAACCAGAAAATAAAAATATAATTCAATAAAGAATGAAAAAGACCTGAACCCAACTTTCCTAAAAATAAAATTAAAATGGCTGCCTTCAAAGGAAGCTTAAATCCTTAGGAATGATGCACAGATACCTCTGGTTTGCAGCAACAAACACTATTACAAGGATTATATTAACCCCTGGAAGCGCCCTGGTAACACAGCAGCCCTTGTGAGATATTAAGTAAATTTCAGTTGCATACTATGCTTTAGAGGAAAAAACCAAAACCAAAACCATTCACTTCAGTTCTTTGTTTTGTCTTTTTTTTTTTTTTTTTAAAGTCTGAGGAGACAACTTTCTCACTAGGCCTCTAAATTTTAAAAAGGGCCAGGACACAAACTGAAGGACATTTTTGGTTTGTTTGTTTTTTGAGACAGGGTCTCACTATGTAGTTGAGACTGACCTGGATCTCACTATGTAGCCCAGGCTGCTCTCGAACTCACAGTGATCCTCCTGCCTCAGCCTCCTGAGTGCTGGAATTACAGGCCCGGCAGGACATTATCATTTTGATGTTGTACAAGGGACTTAAAGAATCAGAAGTAAAAGGCATACTAAGAAACCAAGAAATTTAAAAGTAGATAATGAGGAAGACCTGAAATAGAAATATCTTCATCAATTAAGCATAAACCAAGTGTAAAGAAAATTAAAGGCAAAATTGTTTAGTGCAGGTTAGGAAGATCAAGATACGAATCTATATATGATATAGATTAGCCTATAACTACTGTGAAAAGGATGAGTAATGGGAAAGACAGCTTTCATTTTAGAGATCCCACACACGACACTAACTGTACTTCATTATGAAAGCTTAAACTTAATTGAAATGAAATTCAAAAAAAATTCAGTCTCCTTACACTTGCCACACTAAAAGTGCTCCATACCTGGAGTGTTAAGACAACATGGACATAGATCATTCTTATTACTGTTCAATGTTTACTGGCTCAGAAAGATCAAAAGGGCAGCAATGTTTGACACTTTCACACATCAAGAGTCCTCATTAGAAAACACATATTTGCATCCTCCATCTACTTCCAGCCATTAATGCAGGTATAATTTTAGGCCATTATAAATGCATGTACCATGATTCTCTCTTTCTCTCTCTCTCTCTCTCTCTCTCTCTCTCTCTATTTAAATATTTT